GAGTTGAAGATACAGAGTTGAAGATAACAGAGTTGACGGTAACAGAGTTGACGGTAACAGAGTTGACGGTAACAGAGTTGACGGTAACAGAGTTGACGATAACAGAGTTGATGATAACAGAGTTGAAGATAACAGAGTTGACGATAACAGAGTTGATGATAACAGAGTTGAAGATAACAGAGTTGAAGATAACAGAGTTGACGGTAACAGAGTTGACGGTAACAGAGTTGACGATAACAGAGTTGATGATAACAGAGTTGAAGATAACAGAGTTGACGGTAACAGAGTTGACGGTAACAGAGTTGACGATAACAGAGTTGATGATAACAGAGTTGAAGATAACAGAGTTGAAGATAACGGAGTTGAAGATAACAGAGTTGAAGATAACAGAGTTGACGATAACAGAGTTGAGGATAACAGAGTTGAAGATAACGGAGTTGAAGATAACGGAGTTGACGGATAACGGAGTTGATGATAACAGAGTTGAGGATAACGGAGTTGAGGATAACAGAGTTGATGATAACGGAGTTGATGATAACAGAGTTGAGGATAACGGAGTTGAGGATAACAGAGTTGATGATAACAGAGTTGATGATAACAGAGTTGATGATAACAGAGTTGATGATAACAGAGTTGAAGATAACGGAGTTGAGGATAACAGAGTCGATGATAACAGAGTTGATGATAACAGAGTTGATGATAACAGAGTTGATGATAACAGAGTTGATGATAACAGAGTTGAAGATAACGGAGTTGAGGATAACAGAGTCGATGATAACAGAGTTGATGATAACAGAGTTGATGATAACAGAGTTGAAGATAACGGAGTTGAGGATAACAGAGTTGACGATAACAGAGTTGAAGATAACAGAGTTGAGGATAACAGAGTTGATGATAACAGAGTTGATGATAACAGAGTTGAGGATAACAGAGTTGATGATAACAGAGTTGAAGATAACGGAGTTGACGGATAACGGAGTTGAGGATAACAGAGTTGAGGATAACAGAGTTGAGGATAACAGAGTTGAGGATAACAGAGTTGAAGATAACGGAGTTGATGATAACAGAGTTGAAGATAACGGAGTTGAAGATAACAGAGTTGAAGATAACAGAGTTGACGATAACAGAGTTGAGGATAACAGAGTTGAAGATAACGGAGTTGACGATAACAGAGTTGATGATAACAGAGTTGAAGATAACGGAGTTGAAGATAACGGAGTTGAAGATAATGGAGTTGACGATAATAGAAATTACGATAACAGAGTTGATGGATAACAGTGTTTAAAAATAACAGAGTTAACGGATAACAGAGATGATAATAACAGAGTTGAAGATAACGGAGTTGATGAAAACAGAGTTGAAGATAACAGAGTTGACGGATAACGGAGTTGACAATAACAGAGTTGAAGATAGGAGTTCACGGATAACAGAGTCAACAGATTAACAGAGTTGATGATAACAGAATTGAAGGATAACAGAGTCTAAGGTAACAGAGTGGACAGATTACAGAGTGGAAGGATAACAGAGTCGACAGATTACAGAGTCAACTGTAACAGAGTTGACATTTTCCATAGTTGTGTGCTTTAGCTCCAGATGCTAACCTCAGAGCAAGACTCCACATGACGTGTCTAAAACACAACTTTCTGTATTTTCATCATGTTTGTTTTTAAAAAGTGAATTGACTGAAATCTCACAGTAAACTGAGTTGAAACATAATTAACCTAATATTGGCCTCAATGTCTTCCAGAGTTTCCTGACAAAGGAAGTGACATCACTGCAGCGTCACATGTTTTGTCTATCAGTGATTTACATATTGATCTGCCTTTACATGACCGATGGAACAGAGTTTAGCATAACGCTGAGACACACACTACATCTGTTTCTATGACTGATAATAGACGTTTCACACAAATTTAACTTAACAGTTAACACAAAAAGGATGAGAATTAGACTTAATTAATGAATGACAATTAAAGCTGGCTGTATGATTCAGGAGGCGGAGACACTCCAAAATAGCTGAAGTGGAGTCTTTAAGTTCATATTTTCTAAACCCTATATACAGATTATTATTAGAGATAACGTGATATAATGTGTTGCTTTTGAAAGATGTTTGATTACAGTGTATGTGAACAGTACAGACGTGTCCGTGTTTGTGGAATAATGATCATCTCTGTGTGTGCAGACGATTCCTCCAGATCAGGAGCTGCTGGTTTGGTACGGGAACTCTCACAACACTTTCCTGGGAATTCCTGGAGTCCCGGGCTCTGAAGACGAACAGCAGAAGAAGAGGAGCGGTACGTGTGTGTGTGTGTGTGTGTGTGTGTATGTGTATGATAAAGCTCACTCACACAGCTGTACTGCTTGTTCAAACACATGGACAACACTGACCCCTGCTGGTGGAATATTCACATCACTCCGCAAAAACCAAATGCTTGGTTCTGGTTAAAATATGAGAGATTCTTAAATCAAGAAGCATTTTCTAGACAAGCACAAAATATAGTCTTGTTTTCAGAAATAACGAGTCAAAATGAGTTTCTCCTCAAAACAAGCAGAATAATCGGACAATGAGGGAATAAAAATAACATCATTTCAAAACAAACTAATGTCACTTATCTTATCGGCAGATTATTCCGATAGGTTTAATGACAACTCATGTAAATTATATATATATATATATATATATATATATATATATATAATGAATAAATTTTAGAACATATATGTTTTACAAACATTAAGTCTAGCAAACTTATTTAAATGTAAATTTATTTTAAACAGTTTTACTAATTCTGTTTTACTCTTTGTGGTGTAGTACACTTTTCTAAATGACCATTATATTTCTTTTTTTTATAGTGTTTTTGTATTTTTGTAATAATTGTTGACAATATAAGACATGTTTTTAAAATGACTATTATTTTAAAATGAAGATTTTTCCATGCCCTCCACGAGATCCATCTGTGATCTCAGTCGATGCTCTGCATCAGCACAAGTGGACCTGAGCCACGAAGCAGCGTAATGACAGCTTTATATGTCACATTGCCCAGGGCTCAACAATAAGGACTGCCCGGTGGCCCGGGGCCAGCGTGAAAGACACTCGGGACAGTAGACAGGATTGTTACTGGCCCCTATCGGCCAGTAACGATGAACACGTTTTTTTTTTTTGTTGTTTTTTTTTTGTAACCCAGTAACAACCAGTACAGCGAAGATGGCAACATGGCGGCAAAATTAAACAATGAGGCTAAAAGAAAACGCCTGTTTCTAAAGTCTTAGAAGCAGACAATTACATGGGTACAAAATTAAGGAACTGAAAAGAAAGAACAAAAAAAAACAGTTGTCAGTTTGGCAGGCCATTTTTATAAAAATGATTTAGAATTGCATTAAAATACCTGCACATTTTTCATACTGCTCTCTCATTTGCATAAAATCTTGAATTTAGCTCATTATACATTTATTAACATATTTAAAATGTTTAAATTCTAGATTCACAGGCATAATTTTGCCATTATTTAAAATATGTGGCCAAGAAATAGCTATTAACTTTTTAGTTTTTTTTGGTGGGGCAAGTGAAAATTTTGGCAGGGCAAGGAAAAATCTCAACCAAAGGCCCGATCGGACCCGTATAAAAAATCCTTAGCGTTGAACCCTGATTGCCTCTATGCCAGTGGTTCTCAAACTGTGGTACGTGTACCACTAGTGGTACGCAGGCTTCCTTCTAGTGGTACGCGGACGAATGAAATATGTCATGTACATGCTACATATATTTTAAAATGTATCAAAAATTATGTATATGATGTGCCATATATGACATATAGCCTATACTTATGAGATACTCTGCCACGTTTTATTTACTGTGCAGAGTTGTAGCTGCTTTACTGGGCCTACTACGCTACTGTATTTCAATACTGCTCATTATGGTGGTACTTGGAGATACAATGTTTTTTCTGAGGTGGTACTTAATGAAAACATTTTGAGAACCACTGCTCTATGCTATTCACACATTTCACTGAAGTGTTCAGAGAGAAGGAAAGTAAATAAGCAGCAGGCGGATATGAGCAGGTGTGTGCACATGCGCAGTACAGGAGCGAGTGCTACCGGTCATTTACTGATGATGGAGAGAATTGAAAACGATAGTGTGGGCATGCAGTGTTTTACACCAAAACACCCTTTCCGTATGTGTCTGTATTAGAGTAGACGTAGCCTAACACAGATGAGGGCATGGACTTTTGAGTCGTCACTTATCAACACAGATATTTACACTCTCTCTCACTCTTTTACTGCTAATTCCCCATGTCTGTGTGATGTTTTAGCTTACAATGTGTTTTCTTCTGTTCTGCAGAAGAGGCTCCGGCGTGTGACTCCTCCCCCTGCTCCTCCTCCTCCTCCTCCTGCGGCTCCTCCTCTTCCTCTGCGAGCCGCATGCGCTGTGTGATCTGCCACCGGGGCTTTAACTCTCGCAGTAACCTGCGCTCGCACATGCGCATACACACGCTGGACAAGCCGTTCGTGTGCCGCTTCTGCAGCCGCCGCTTCAGCCAGTCCTCCACGCTGCGCAACCACGTGCGTCTGCACACCGGCGAGCGCCCGTACCGCTGCGCAGTGTGTCAGAGCGCGTACTCGCAGCTGGCCGGACTGCGCGCGCACCAGAAGAGCGCGCGACACCGGCCCCCCACGCAGACCACACCGCAGACACCCGTGCACACCGCTGCGCACCCTGCACTGCTGCGACACACACCTGCTATGGTGATCTGACAGACCCAACACACACACGCACGCACTTTACACAGCACTGACGAAAGTGAATATTGAGCCTTGAACATTTCGTTTACTCACGACGGTGGGAGGGGCGTGGCCTGTGGGGTTACATTTGCGACAATTCTGTGTGCACATGCGTGAGTGTGCAAAACGGCAGGTGCATCTATGCTAGTAATTCTGTGTGCAAAGGAGAGAGGGGTCTGGATGCAGTCCTGGTGCAGGTGCAGCCTGAGCTGCATGCAATGCTTTTAATGCACACCCATAACCCCGCCCATCACAGTGATGTCACTAGCTCCATTGAGTGCATTGTGTCTGAGTCTCAACTTGCAAATCCAAGTCTGCATCCACAATCTATTGGGCGCTGTTTTGAGCATGCAAAATGGCTTGTTGCACATGCATTAACAATTCTTTGCACAAAAGATCATGCTTTGGGAGTGCGCAATGGTTTGTTGCATGTGCATTAACAATCATCTGTGCAAAAGATCATGTTTCGAGTGAGCAAAACGGCTGGGTGCATCTATGATAATAATTCTGTGTGTTAGAGAGAGGGTGTCTGGATGCAGTCCTGGTGCACATGCAATCTGAGCTGCATGCAACGGTTTTAATGCACCCCTAACCCCGCCCCTCACAGTGATGTCACTAGTTCCATTAAGTGCATTGTGTCTCCAAGTCGGCATCCAGAATCTATTGGGCAAAAGATCACATTTTGAGCATGCAACAAGCGCACATTAACAAGTCTGTGCACAAACAGTTTTAAGTGTCAAAACAGCTTGTTGCACATGAATTATTGATTCTTTGCACATAAGATGATGCTTTGGGAGTGCACAATGTTTTTTTGCATCTGCATTAACAATTGTTTGCACAAAATGTCAGGTTTTGAGCATGCAAAATGGCTTGTTGCTTGCTCTAAACATGATCTTTTGTGCACATAATTGTCGCAAATCTGACCCCACAATGGCTAGGCATATTTCGAAAACTGCAGAGTATAAGCAGATGGGCAGATTTTGATGAAAGATTAACAAACAGTATTTTATTGCTAAATAAACTTTGGATATTTTAATTTCATGCAGACTTTAATGTGCTGAACGTATGACAGCACACTCTACAGGAAAATAACTCAAACTCATAAAGGTTTAGAAACACTTAAAGGTGAAAAAAAAGTATTGAGTAAATGTTCATGTTTGGGTGAACTGTCCCTTTAATGCATTTTAACTGTCTTAATTGTGTAAATGTTTCTAAAATAAACAAGTGTTTCTGTCTTGTTTTCCAGCACAAAGCTCTTTCTGAATGAACATTTACTGGAGAAGCGGAGCATATTTTGTTGTTGATAAAGACAAATGAATGAAAATGATGCATATTTCTGCATTAAAGCAACCAAACCTGTTAATAGAGTCAGAGAAATAACCTTAATTCACAGAGGAAACTGCACTGCAGAAAACTTAATTAGCATTAAAATAATATTAATATTTAGCTCCTCCAGTAAACGTCTTCTTTTGTTCTGTAATGAATCTTTTATAGGAGTACACTTTTATATTCATGTGTGTTGGTGATGTTTCTGTCTGCTCTGAGATTTGCTGGTGATTATTGTGCAGAACCGTCCAGTTGAGCAATACAGATATTAATAACCGAAGGCTTTAAAGTCCGAGTGAACCGGATGAACTGCAGGTTTTATTTTAGTATGTTGCATCTCCAGCTGAAACGGAATATTGAGTAGGGGGCGGGGTTTTAAATTAGAGCTCCGCCTTTCATCTTTCACCTGCAGCAAACTAATGGTTGGAGGGGCGTGGCTAAGCATATTTCGCCCAATCAGAGAAGGTCTTCTGTGCAGATTTTGATTAAATAAGACGATTTGATTTGGTACAGACCTGAAAGAGTTTGTGATTATGATAATACTGAATTACTGAATCGCCCAATAGCAGCTAATGGATGATTGATCGCAGCGATTGTGGATATTGTGGTGTGTTGATCCAGTTTATCAGGCACTGGCAGAAGTCAGATTTAAATGTAAATATGTTTGTATTGTCTATTGTAAATAAAACTTTGATTCCACTGTATTACTGGAGGACCATGAGTGTGTTTTTTAAATGTACGCATTCCTTCAAGTTTAAAGCAACATAAAAAAAAAACATGCAAAATAAGTTCAATAATATATATACATTCACTGGCCACTTTATTAGGTACACCCGTCCAACTGCTTGTTAACTTAAATTTCTAATCAGCCAATCACATGGCAGCAACCCAATGCATTTCGGCATGTAGACATGGTCAAGAGGATCTGCTGCAGTTCAGACTGAGCATCAGAATAGGGAAGAAAGGGGATTTAAGAGACTTTGATCGTGGCATGGTTGTTGCTGCCAGACGGGCTGCTCTGAGTATTTCAGAAACTGCTGATCTACTGGGATTTTCACGCACAACCCTCTCTAGGCTTTACATAGAATGCTCCGACAAAGAGGAAATATCCAGTGAGCGGCAGTTCTGTGGGCGCAAATGCCTTGTTGATGAGGCCAGAGGAGAAATATAAAGGAAATATTTCCCATTTTCATAAGGCTTTTTTCCAAGACATCCATATTTTCCCATTTCAGGCCTCTTTTCAGATTTTTAAATCCTCCATCCTTTACCACAGCAGACCGATACAGCAACTGCATTACAGCTGCCGCTGCACCAATCCGGCTGTCAATCTCACGCTCCATCCTTCCCTCACTCCTGAACAAAATCCCGAGATACTTGAACTCCTCCACCTGGGATAAGGACTTTCCTCCAACCTGGAGATGACAAACCACCTTTATCTGTTGGAGCACCATGGCCTCAGACTAGGAGGTGCTGCTTCTGTAAGGGGCCGGTGCATTGTGGAACAGGTTGTGGTCATAGGATAGGACCATGACAACCCAATCGTCAGGCACAGAATCTGGCTCCTGGGACATGTTTGGATTTTCGCATCTTCAAAACACTCATCCTCTTCAAGATAATTCAGTTTTCCAGCTTTGTCTTCTTTGCGAGTACTTTTCTAGCCTTTTCTCCAGACATTTTCAAGACTGTCAGATTATTTTTTTTGTTTCAGATTCCCATTTTCCCACTAGATTTTTGTGCTTTTCTGAAGCCATTTTTACATTTTGATGACTTTTCCATTGTAAAAACTTCGTCTTTTTCAAGATGTTTTCAAGACTTTCAAGGTTTTTCCTTTTTTTCAGGTTTCTGTTTTTTCAAGACTAAATTTTTTTTCATAACTGTTTATATTTTTACATTATTTTTCAGATAATTTGCAGATTTTTCTACACTTTTAGATATTTTCTTAATTTTTTAAGACTCAGGACCCTATCATAAACAGCTCTGCCTCAATGCCTTCTTCACCTCTTTCAGAGGGGGGCTTTTTCAGTTTTTTGATGACCATCTGCATCTGTATAATGTGATTATTATGATCAGTATTATTGATTATCTGCAGATTTATATTTGCTTTAATAAACACAAGTGTAGATGTGTCCAGCTGTGGGGTTTTGGAGACGTCTGCATCAGCATATGTGGATAAGAACAGGACGCAATTGACTCTTAAAGGGAATGAGAGACGAGTCTCTGATTAGTTTAATGCAGGTTATGCTCAAAACACACCCAGAACTCATTAAGAGAATCAGCTCAACCCTGTTAGACCATGCACAGAGCGGATTGTTCCATCCTTATAATAGCAGAAGTGGATTCAGACACGCTCTTATTGCGCTTGTGCCATGAGCTTTAGACTTTGTGCTTAGAATTGTAATATAGAGCCCCAAATCAGATGTTTTTGTAATAGTTTCCTCAATGTTTTACTGAAAAAAGTCATGAAAAACAAAACAGCTGTTGTGTAAAATAAAAGAAAAACTAAATAAAAAAATGAAGGAAACTTAAAATATCAAAGAGTGATAAAAATGAACAAGGTAAAGAAAAGCATTTCAAAGGGCCTAAAAGCAGCATTATTATATGATCTGCATGATAGAGGAGAGTCTCATAAATGCAGCGAGATGTTTATTGCAGATTCCAGATTTGCATGAGAACATGAGAAGCCCTGAACATTCATCAAAACTGATTAAAGTGCAAATCAATGAAAAACAAGCTGAACTTTGGCTTGAGGTTGTCCACTATTGGTGTGCTGAATTCATTCAGTCAGAGATGAAGATTAAAACACACTTAATGCATAAAACATTTCAAACTAAAGCAACATTATAGCATGAGCTCACAGTCAAATACAGTAAACTAGCAGACGCTTCAACACTCGTGCAAAACCATCACGACAGAAACATTCAAATAAAACACACTGAACAGATGATTTATAAAAACTACATCCGTAAAACAGACTGCTGAGGTTTAGGAGGCTCGAAACAAACCAAGAACATCATTTTCCACAACGGTGAGATCTTTAAACCTTCATCTTCAGAATTTCTGAATAATTTTTCAGAACAAACACCTGAATATTCAGAAATCAGGAAACATCTGAAACAAACTAAATGTCAAAAACCTCAAGAAGAAATATGAAACCAGTCAAGTAACATGAGGGGAGGATGAAATGAGAATAACTGAAAGTTATGAAATAATCTCTATAAACTCTTGAAAAATCTTTTTTAAATAAAGAAAATGAGTGGAGATGAAGTGACAAAGTTTATGAAGCAAATAATAAAGGAAGAAATTAAATGAAATCGCAATTAACCAATTATCAAAACTGTTAAAGATTACCCAAAAATGAAAAAACAAAACTCAAGTAAAACAAGTGTAATGATACAAAATAAAAAAAATGAAAATAAAAATGGAATAAAGTGGAAAAAGTTATGGGGAAAAAAATCTCTCAAAAAGTGAAACATTTTGTGAATATAAATGAAGAGGAATAAATCATGAACAAACTTTTTTTTAATGAAAAGAATCTCAGTCAAGTAAAATGGGTGGGGAAAAGTGAAGAATTATATTAAAAAATTAAGGAAAATTATAAAATTTGCATACAAAAATTAAATGAATATGATGAAAAAAAAAATCTCAAAAATCTTGAAATTTGTGAAACAACCTCCAAAATATCTTGAAAAATCTTTTTTTTAATGAAGAAATGAGTGGAGATAATGTGACAAATTAATTAAAAAAATGAAAAGTTGTGAAGAGAACCATCTTAGAAAAAGTCACAAAAAAAGTCTTGAAAATTTGAAAAAACAAAACAAAACAAACAAAAAACCTGCAATAAATCAATTATCAAAAAAGTAAAAAAAAGATGCAAAAATGAAAAGAAAAGAAAAAAAAGAAAATAAATTCACAAATCAAAAGGACTGAAGAATAAAAAATGACGGGGAAAAAAGCTCTGAAAAAATGAAAAGCTAAATGAAAAACTAAAATAATGAAAAAAAAAATCTCAGTAAAAAATATCAAAATATTAAAATAAATAAAAAAATCCCAGTCAAGTAAAATAGTGAGTGTGTGGGGGGGGGGGATTTTTTAAATATAATTTTTCACTTTTCAAGGAAGAAATACACACAAAAATGTGTTAGGTAAAATAAAACTAAATATCAAAGAAGAAAACAAAAAACATGAAAATAAAAGAAAATTCAATTCAGAAAAAAAACTAAGAAAATAATAAGAAAATAAAAAAAAACAAGTAAAACAAACTTGGTGTATTGATACACAAATAAAAATAAGATAAATGTAATAAATGAGTTAAGAAAAAAACCTGAGAAAACATGGGAAAAAGGTCAAGACAAAATAAATTAAAATTAAATAAAAGGAAAACCACAAATCTCAAAAAGTGGTAAAAACATCAATAAAGGTGCACTTACTGGAGCAGCAGCAGAAGAACTGAAGATACGAAGATATGAGTCCTGTTTATTTCCTGCATGAAAGATGAAGAGCAAATGTCTGGTTTTGCTTCTGAAAGAAGTGTGTTTTTCTTGTCCTTTCTCTCTTTGATGATAAACTGCGCTGAGGACTGCAGTTTCTCCAGTAAATGTGTGTGTGTATCGATGACGCTGTTTCTCTGATGAGTGTGTTCATCTGGAGGATTTGCATGTCCATTGCTTTACAATTTCTCCCACAGCTGCAATAACTGATTCCCTGTGTGCGGCTCCAGCTCCTGCACACACACACACACACACACACACACACACACACACACAAACACACACAGAAACAAACACACACAATTATAAAAATTGATTTGTTAAAAAAAAAAAAAAAAAAACGTTTCTGTTACCGTACCGTCAACTTCCTGTTACTCAACCTTCTGTTATCTTCAACTCTATTTCCGACCAGCCAGTCGCCTGTTACCATCCGTCAATTGTTACCTTCGTCCATTCTGTTACCTACCGCCAACTCTGTTACCAACCGCCAACTCTGTTACCAATCGTCAACTCTGTTACTAATCGTCAACTCTGTTACTAATCGTCAACTCTGTTACCTATCATCAACTCTGTTACCAATCGTCAACTCTGTTACTAATCGTCAACTCTGTTACCTATCATCAACTCTGTTATCAATCGTCAACTGTTACCTATCGTCAACTCAGTTACCGGCCATTAACTCTGTTACCAGCCGTTAACTCTGTTACCTACCATCAACTCTGTTACCTACTGTCAACTCTGTTACCAATCGTCAACAATATTACCAATCGTCAACTTAGTTACTTATCGTCAACTGCTACCTTCGTCCACTCTGTTGCCTATCGTCAACTGTGTTACCTTTGACAACTCATTTACCTACCGTCAACTCTGTCAACTACCATCAACTACCATCAACTGTTAGCGTCAACTCGGTTATCTGTCAACTCTGTTACCTTCTGTCAGCTCTCTTATCTATTGTTAACTGTTACCGTCAACTCTAGTTATCTGTCAAATTTCTGTTACCTACTGTCAACTCTGTTATCTTCGACAACTCTGTTACCTACTGTCAACTGTTACCTACCGTCAACTATTACCTACTGTCGACTGTTACCTACCATCAACTCTGTTACCTACAGTCAACTCTGTTACCTATCGTCAACACTTACCTAGTCAACTCTGTTACCTTCGTCAACTCTGTTACCTTCCGTCAACTGTTATAACAAACTCTGTTACCTACCGTCAACTGTTACCTACTGTTGGCTGTTACCTACCATCAACTCTGTTACCTATTGTCAACACTTACCTAGTCAACTCTGTTACCTTCTGTCAACTGTTACCATCAACTCGGTTACCTACAGTCAATTATGTTACCTACTGTCAACTGTTACCCACTGTTGACTGTTACCTACAATCAACTCTGTTAACTACGGTCAACTCTGTTACCTACACTCAACTCTGTTATCTACGCTCAACTCTTGTTACCTATCATGAACACTTACCTAGTCAACTTTGTTACCTTCGTCAACTCGGTTACCTACCGTCAACTCTGTTACCTACCATTAACTCTGTTACCTACGGTCAACTCTGTTACCTACTGTCAACTCCGTTACCTATCATCAACACTTACCTAGTCAACTGTTACCTTCGTCAACTTGGTTACCTACCATCAACTCTGTTACCTACAATCAACTGTTACCTACTGTCGACTGTTACCTACCATCAACTCTGTTACCTACCATCAACTGTTACCTACTGTCGACTGTTACCTACTGTCGACTGTTACCTACCATCAACTCTGTTACCTACGGTCAACTCTGTTACATATCATCAACACTTACCTAGTCAACTCTGTTAACTTCGTCAACTCGGTTACCTACCGTCAACTCTGTTACCTACCGTCAACTGTTACCTACTGTCAACTGTTACCTACCATCAACTCTGTTACCTACGGTCAACTCTGTTACCTATCATCAACACTTACCTAGTCAACTCTGTTACCTTCCGTCAACTGTTACCATCAACCCGGTTACCTAACATCAACTGTTACCTATCAACTTTGTTATCTATCGTTAACTGTTACCTACTGTCAACTCTGCTACCTAGTTAACTGTTATCATCAACTTTGTTACCTTCTGTCAACTGTTACCATCAACTCGGTTACCTACAGTCAACTATGTTACCTACTGTCAACTGTTACCTACTGTTGACTGTTACCTACAATCAACTCTGTTAACTACGGTCAACTCTGTTACCTACGCTCAACTCTTGTTACCTATCATCAACACTTACCTAGTCAACTTTGTTACCTTCGTCAACTCGGTTACCTACCGTCAACTCTGTTACCTACCATCAACTCTGTTACCTACGGTCAACTCTGTTACCTATCATCAACACTTACCTAGTCAACTGTTACCTTCGTCAACTCGGTTACCTACCGTCAACTCTGTTACCTACGGTCAACTCTGTTACCTACTGTCAACTCTGTTACCTATCATCAACACTTACCTAGTCAACTGTTACCTTCGTCAACTTGGTTACCTACCATCAACTCTGTTACCTACCATCAACTGTTACCTACTGTCGACTGTTACCTACCATCAACTCTGTTACCTACGGTCAACTCTGTTACCTATCATCAACACTTACCTAGTCCACTCTGTTACCTTCGTCAACTCGGTTACCTACCATCAACTCTGTTACCTACGGTCAACTCTGTTACCCATCATCAACACTTACCTAGTCAACTCTGTTACCTTCATCAACTCGGTTACCTACCGTCAACTCTGTTACCTACCGTCAACTGTTACCTACTGTCAACTGTTACCTACCATCAACTCTGTTACCTACGGTCAACTCTGTTACCTATCATCAACACTTACCTAGTCAACTCTGTTACCTTCCGTCAACTGTTACCATCAACCCGGTTACCTAACATCAACTGTTACCTATCAACTTTGTTATCTATCGTTAACTGTTACCTACTGTCAACTCTGCTACCTAGTTAACTGTTATCATCAACTTTGTTACCTTCTGTCAACTGTTACCATCAACTCGGTTACCTACAGTCAACTATGTTACCTACTGTCAACTGTTACCTACTGTTGACTGTTACCTACAATCAACTCTGTTAACTACGGTCAACTCTGTTACCTACGCTCAACTCTTGTTACCTATCATCAACACTTACCTAGTCAACTTTGTTACCTTCGTCAACTCGGTTACCTACCGTCAACTCTGTTACCTACCATCAACTCTGTTACCTACGGTCAACTCTGTTACCTATCATCAACACTTACCTAGTCAACTGTTACCTTCGTCAACTCGGTTACCTACCGTCAACTCTGTTACCTACGGTCAACTCTGTTACCTACTGTCAACTCTGTTACCTATCATCAACACTTACCTAGTCAACTGTTACCTTCGTCAACTTGGTTACCTACCATCAACTCTGTTACCTACCATCAACTGTTACCTACTGTCGACTGTTACCTACCATCAACTCTGTTACCTACGGTCAACTCTGTTACCTATCATCAACACTTACCTAGTCCACTCTGTTACCTTCGTCAACTCGGTTACCTACCATCAACTCTGTTACCTACGGTCAACTCTGTTACCCATCATCAACACTTACCTAGTCAACTCTGTTACCTTCATCAACTCGGTTACCTACCGTCAACTCTGTTACCTACCGTCAACTGTTACCTACTGTCAACTGTTACCTACCATCAACTCTGTTACCTACGGTCAACTCTGTTACATATCCTCAACACTTACCTAGTCAACTCTGTTACCTTCATCAACTCTGTTACCTTCCGTCAACTGTTACCATCAACCCGGTTACCCACCATCAACTCTGTTACCTAACATCAACTGTTACCTATCAACTTTGTTATCTATCGTTAACTGTTACCTACTGTCAACTCTGCTACCTAGTTAACTGTTATCATCAACTGTGTTATCTGTCAACTCTGTAACTGTCAAATTTCTGTTAACGTCAACTCTGTTACCTACTGTTAACTGTTAACTACCATCAACTCTGTTACCTATAGTCAACTGTTAGTCAACTCTTTTATCAGTCAAATTTCAGTTACTCTCAACTTTCTGTTACAGTCAACATTAAGGAAAATGAATTAAATATCCTTGAAATGTACCTGTAATTCTAGATAATGTGTGCGTTTGTGTGTGTTTATATGAGTGTGGTTGTGTCACCTGAGCGTCTCTGCTGATCTGCACTTTCTTGTTGTCGTTCCAGGGGTTCAGCAGTTTGTGTGTGAGCTGGAAGGCCAGACTCTCAGTGTGTATCCACTGCACCGAAAACACTCCACCCAGACCAGAGGAGCCGAAGTCCAGACAGCGCTCGCTGCTCACTGCAGACGTCATGCGTGCATATCCCTGAGACACAGAGAGAGAGAGAATTCTACATTGTTATAAATGAATCATCATCATCATTTTCTCCTAAATTGTTGACTATTAAATATACTTTTAAATGCGTCATTAAAACTATTATCTTTAGAAATGTGTTGAACAAATCTTCTCTAAACAGATATTAAAGAAAGATCCGCCCAGTGTGTGTCTGAGTATCTGTGTGTGTGTGTGTGTGTGAGAGAGACCTGGAAGTGTCCAGACCCCTGCACAGAGAACACCAGGAAGACTGCACTGCTGTTCTGGAAGGCTCGGTTCAGCTTCTGCTCGTTGTTGGGTGTGGTGGACCAGACGCTCCGCTGCTGCGACAGCTCGATGTTACGGGGGTTACTGCTCTTCATGATGAAGTAGCGTACGCTAGAGTGCGGCGCGCGCACACACGCTGACATGCTAACCTGCACACGCAACACACACAAGCAGAGTAAGAGTAAGCAGACCATCAGAAACACACAGCACGCAGAGACATAAACACTGAGTCATGCTGCAGAAAACACATACACACACGTTTACAGGGACACTCTATAGGGGTAATGTATTTTATACAGTAAAACCGCTTATCATATGGTCCTCCCCCACCCCTAAACCAAATCCTCACAGGAAAGCTGTGGCAAAATCTGATTATTAAATAACATTTTGAATTATAGGGACACGAGGTGTGACCCTGTAAACCACCCATAGCCATGTCATTATTAACTTTGTGTCCCTGTAAACCACATCTGCTGATATTAGCACACACACAGACAGAGCTGAGGGCGACACACACATGGGCTTGAGACACAGTGAGCTGAGCAGGGCTTCGGAAACACACACGCGGACACAATCACACAGTTGAGAGCGACACCCACACACCAAAGCAGTGGATGGAGACGTCGGCCCCTCAGAGATCCCACAGGGTGCCAGATCCTCCTCCTGATGGCGAGAGTGATGCATTCTGGGATTCTTCAGCTGAGATGCCAGTCGAGGTCTGCGGGACACACAAACACTGATGACACTGCAGATACCTCATTTACACACATCTACTACATAACTAACACTTCACAGTAAACAAATAACATTATAAATATGAAAGAAACTAGTTTTAGCTTCTTATTAGGCCAAACTTACCACAAATAGTAACAATTACAACAACAAAAAATTATAATTTTTGTATTATATTACTAGTCAGCATTATAGGTTTTCAGAAATGTGTTTCACAAATTCAACTGTTGATGCGATACACACATAATTCCACCTGTCAATCACTTTTTCTGCGGGACTCGTGAATAGGCAGTGATCTGTGTCGTTATAATGGCGTCGGTAAAAAAGACGCACAACCAACAGGAACCAGCCAACAGTATCTGAGGTGTTCGCTAAAATTACAAAGTACAAGTGAGTGAAAGATTGAAGCAGTCTATTGATCCTCTGACTGCCTGAACCCGCTGTCTCGAGCCCATGGCTGTGTGTGTGCGTCTGTGTCTGTGTGTGTGTGTCAGAGGTAGAGAGGAAGGAGGGCTGCTCAGAAATGCTACACGCCACTGTGGAGGTAAAATCGTTGTTGTTCTAAAATGCCATTTAAAAACAAAGACAGTGTAAACAGGGCCTGAGTGTGTACTTTTCGCGAGCGGATTTGCAACGGGGGCGGGCGGAGGATCGCGATGCTGGTGTTGTCTATCGGACGAACCCTAATACGTACATAGCAGAGCTTGCAAAACTGTGTTTTTTTTTGTCGACAACACGAACGTTGTCAACATAACTCACTGGAAATCCAAAATGCTTCCACACCGGCGACTTCATTGAAAGAGGAGAGGGTTTAAGTTCTGTCGACGGGTCTCCTGCGTCTGCAGTTCAACAAGCCTGTTTTTTCCCGCTTGGCAAGCCAAGCTGACATGACATGGGGGCGTGGCAGCATCGACGATTCTATTTTTTGATTCGATAATCGAAATTGAGCATGAATTTAGATCAATTTCGATTAAAAATCGAAATCGTGACACCCCTACCAGATAATAATTCTTTAAGGCAGGGTTCGACAATAAGGATGGTCCAATATGCATGCACAGGCGATCGAGAAGCAACAAAACTGACTAAAATAATTGCGTTCGCAACTTTGCGCGAGCAAAACAAGTGAATACCGAATGAGAGGATAATCAGCTGAGGTGATGCGCGCTCCCGTTTCCTTTTGTGAAGCAACTGTGTCTAGAAACACAACTGATGCGATCGTTTCTCTTTCAAATAGACTGAACAAAAAGGAAGGAACGTGCACCTACAGTCTACAGTCTTGCTGCTTTCCAGAGCTCCAGAGTTGACTTATTGTAAGCAGCGCCAGTTGCTTTCGCTTTAACCATTCTTTGAAAAGATAATTTATGGGTCAGTCATTAACCATGCGTGTGTGATCATCCTTTCATCATCACACAGTATGTTTTTACCTGCTTTCTTTTGCATTAATATGATTTAATTATCAGTTTTTACAATAACATTGCTTTAATGGGAGAATAACTCCCCATTTATGTGTAGTTCACTGGTGATCTGGGACCTTTAGCCAGGACATATGACTGTACATGTGTTCTGTTAAATAAAAAGTACAGTATTCAGCTGTATTTTGCTTGTTTTGACAGACTTAAAATTTGTGGCTAAGAAATAATGAACTGTTTATGTATGGTGTGGTCAGAGATAAATTGGGTAAATCCTTCATTTTGGGCTCTGAACATTATAAAAACTAATTGTAATATATGAAATTCTGACCCATCTGCTCATGATTATTAAGCAAACTCATACACGACACACAAAAAGTAAAATGAATGAGGAGGCATGTAGAGATAACGCAAACTCTAAATCAAGTAATTTTAGCATGTCAAAGTCATATCTATGCGTATAAAATATATTTTCCCAACAATAAAACTGTGGCTAGTGAAACTGGCGAGTGGCTAGTAATGTTGGAAAAGTACTAGCCACAGTGGCTAGTGGTCAAAAAAGTTAATGTTAAGCCCTGCCCAGGACACTGTAGTGACTACTGTAATGCTTGTCTCTCTGCACACCTGGGAGCGCCTCGGGAAATCTGCTGGAATGTCTGGGAGAGGGAAGTCTAGGGTTTTCCTGAGACTGCTGCCCCCTTGATCCAGCCTTCGATAAGCTTTCAGCTTTTGAGTTTTAAAGTTTTATGTTCCACAAATCTACCTGCTGATAACTGCTGATAAAAATAAGTAAAAACAGCTTGTATTGACCGATATATTGGTGTCCTGTTGACCCGTCCAGCATGAGTGTGTGAGTCTACAGTGTGTGTGTGCAGTGTCAAGCTTCTCTCACCTGTCGGGGCTGGCTGTGGCCTCCTGCTGTGGTGTGTCGGCTGTGTTCCTGCTGCGTCCGTGTGTGTGAGTGTATGAGCTGCTGTCTTCTGCGCTGACGGGTCGGGGTCTCTGGCCGATGCCGGTGGGCTGCTGCAGCCCTGCGCTCTGCTCCTCCGCCGACAGCACAGACACCAGCGTGCGGATGGTGGACTCGTCCAGCTGAGAGCAGGCCTTACTGGGGGAGCGGATCCGCCGCAGGAACACACTCTGCCAGCGCTGACGCAGGCCGAACACTAGCTCCGCCGTCTGACACACACACACACACACAAAAAACACACACATGAAAAAATACATGTGGAAAATACACTTACACAAACTAATACACACACACACACACACACACACAAACACACACACACACAAAGGAACCCCACACACAGAAAAAATAACAAACACACAATAAAACACACACAAGAGAAAAAAAACATGAAAATACAAGAAAACACACACACAAGAAACACACAAACACAGAGAATGAACTGTAGAATATCCATGAGCCAATCAGAATCCAGCATTCATCAGCCTGCAGTCTAGTATGACAGCAGGAGAGGACAGAGAGTAGAGCAAGCAGAGTTTCTGACAGCCCAGTCCAGCCTGAAATTGATCCAGTGGTCGAGTGTGAGGTGAGCCTGCGTGTGTATGTGTGTAGTATGAGAAATATGTGTGTAAACAGCAGAATATCTAACCTCTGGGTCCAGCCTGAAGTTGATCCAGTGGTCGAGTGTGAGGTGAGCCTGTCGAGCGCTGCACTGATCCTCCACCTCACTGTCACTGCTGTCAGCAGCTGCAGAAAAACATGCTGAATTACTGTGTGTGTGTGTGTGTGTGTGTGTGTGTGTGTGTGTGAGAGAGAGAGAAAGGGAGTGAGGGAGAGTATGTGTGTGTATGCATAATGTGTGTATATTGTGTGTGTATGTATGTACACTGTGTGTTTGTTTGTGTTTGGAGGTTTCACTGCAGAAGTTAATGTGCAGCTCAACTCTCCGGTTTCCACCACAGGGTCTTTCCCACATCCGGGAGAGTTACGGTGTGGAGAAGCCCCAAAAGCGGCCCACCCAGACTGCTGATGCCCAGAGCAAAGCATGGGGGGATCATTGATGGTTTGGGCTTGATATCATGGCATTCAATGGCCCAATACTGGTGCTAGGTGGGTGCTGGATCACTGTCGAGGACTACCCAACTTGAGGACCACGTGACCCAATGGGTCAAACATTGTATCCTGAATGCAGTGGTGTGTATCAGGATGATAATGCAGCAATACACACAGCAGGACTGGAGACAGAGTGGTCTTATTTGCATGACAGTGAAGTAGAACACCTTCCATGGCCTGCACAGTACCCAGAGCTATACATTATTGAGCACTTTTGGGGTGTTTTGGAAGTGCGAGTCAGGAAAGGTTTTCCTCCAGCAGCATCAGTAGAGACCTGAACACTATACTGAAGAAGAACAGCTCACAATCCCTCTGACTGCTGTGCAGGACTCCTGTCTGTCATTCACTACAGCAGCTGATGATGATGTATTAGGGAGGAAGAGCTACACCATACTAAACAACTACTGCGCTCTAACACCAGGCCTTCAGTTTCACTGTTTATATCTGTTTACTGTGTGTGCTTCCATGTATGCGTGCGTGTATTTGTATGTATGCATGTTTATGCATGTACTGTATGTATGCATGTATGTGTATTGTGTATGAATTTGTGTAATTTTTGTTTGTACATAGATTGTATGTGTATAGTGTGTGCGCATATGTATGCACAGTATGTGTATGTGTGTTGTGTGTGTGTGCTGACTATTTACATCCTCTCTGAAGGACCGCCTCCTGGAGAGCGGAGCTGGGCAGTTTGGCTCCTCCCCCAAACAGGGCAATGGTGAGGGGTGTGACCGCAGTACAGCACCTGACACTGGCAATTCTATGAGCTCGCGTCATCTCATCATAGATCAGCCAATCGGTGGGCAGAGAATCAACAGCTGCTGCCTGCCCATTGGCAGGAGGGATCTGGGCAGAGAAAAAAACATATTAAATTATTTTCTACACACATTAATATACCGCTTGATATAATTTGCAGTTAAAGTAAACAGCTGATTTACAGTATATTATATGATGTAATATTACTGTATTTTTTGGCTGAATATACAGATTTTTAAAGCAAATTTAGCGTGGTGTCTGACCTTCTTGTACTGCGGCTGGCTGAGGACAGAAGTGGGGTGCAGTCGGACCTTCTTCTCTTTCTCTCCGCTGAGGCTCAGGCCGTCCCGATGGATCAGGTTTGGGTACATGCCTGCCACCAGCGCCGCTTTTACCACCGCCCAGTTCTCCGAGTTTTGGTTTACATCACGGATGTCGCCGCCGCCGCGAGCACGCACAAAACCTGCAGAAAACTGATTTATTAAAGGCCTGTTCACAGGCCCAGAAGAAAAACTGACTTATTAAAAGCCTGTTCACAAGACCAGGAGGAAAACTCATTAGAAAGAAAACTGACTTAGAGGAAAACTGACTTATTAGGAGTAAAACTGATTTATTATGAGAAAAACTGACTTATTAGGAGGAAAACTGACTTATTAGGAGAAAAACTGACTTATTAAAGGCTCGTTCACAAGACCAGGAGAAAAATGACTTATTAGAAAAAAAAAACTGACTTAGAGGAAAACTGACTTGTTAGGAGAAAAACTGACTAATTAGGAGGAAAACAGAATCATTAAAGTCCTGTTCACAGGACGAGGAGAAAAACTGACTTATAAGAAGAAAAAGGGACTTATTACGAGAAGAACTAACTTGATAGGAGAAACAACTGACTTATTAGGAGGAAAACTAACTTAATAGGAGAAAAACTGACTTATTAGGAGGAAAACAGAATTATTAAAGTCCTGTTCACAGGACCAGGAGAAAAACACACTTATTAGAAGGAAAACTGACTGAATAAAGGCCTGTTCACAAGACCAGGAGAAAAATTGACTTATTAGGACAAAAACAGACTAATTATTTAGTTATAACTATAACTTATTAAAAGCCTGTTCACAAGACCAGGAGGAAAACTCATTAGAAAGAAAACTGACTCATTAGGAGGAAAACTGACTTATTAGGAGAAAAACTGACTTATTAGAAGAGAAACAGACTTATTAAAGGCCCGTTCACAAGATCAGGAGAAAAATGACTTATTAGGAGGAAAACTGACTTAATAAAGGCCTGTTCACAAGATTAGGAGGAAACCTGACTTATTAAAGGCTTGTTCACAGGACCAAGAGAAAAACTGATTTATTAGAAGGAAAACTGACTGAATATAGGCCTGTTCACAGGATAAGGAAAAAAACTGATTTATTAGGAGGAAACTGGAGAAAACTGACTTATTAGGTAGGAAAAAGAAGAAAAACTGACTTAATAAAGCTCCGTTCACAAAACCAGGAGGAAAACTGTCATATTAATGGACCATTCACAAGAGGAGGTACCCTGACTTATTATGAGTTAATTAATTATTAATCAATTAATTATTATTAAAGGACCGTTTGCGCCAAGCACAATAATTATAAAGATAAAGATAGGATTTTTAACACATATACAGATGAAGTCAGATCTATTTGCCCTCCTGTTAAATCGGAATTCTTTTATATTTTTCCCCAATTTCTGTTTAATGAAGAGAACAGATTTCTTATCATAGAAGTGTTAATAACTCATCTCTAATAACTGATTTATTTTATCTCTGCCATGATGACAGTAAATAATATTAAACTAGGTACTCTTCAAGACACTAGTATTCAGCTTTAAGTGACATTTAAAATTACTTATTAAATCTCTGAAACATGCAGGTAATATGTAGTGACCTGTGGCTCTCAGCTGTCCCAGAAGCTGCGTCCGCATGCTGACGATGATCTCCATGGTGGCCTGAGAGAGGAAGTTTTTCTCACAGAAAGCTCTTTCCCAGCCGTCACTGCGCGCTTTCTGCCATGCCTGCAGAAACACACCCAAAACACACTCATCAGCCAATCACAGAGCTCAAATGCACAACTCATTATAATAATTAATCACATTTACAAGTTAGGTCTACATTATTCACTGTCCTGTGCAGCTTATTTTTTGCATTTAAACTAGAAAAGCAGTTTTTAATTGTTTTAAACCCATTTTAAATGTCAATATTATTCGCCCCTTCAGCAATATTAGTGTTGGATTGTCTCCAGAACAAACCACTGTTATACAATGACTTGCTTAATTACCCTAACTTTACCCTAATTACCCTAGTGAAGCCTTTACATGTCACTTTAAGCTGAACACTAGTTTCTGGAGAAAAAAAAAGGTCATGCTCATGTATGTGTGAAGCGTGTGACCTCTGACCTGGAAGGCCCTGAGCAAAGCCATGTGGTCGCTGAAGGTGTTGGCGGTGAAGCGTCTCCTGCAGAGCATCGCCACACGTCTTTGAGCGGCCTGAGCGGGCAGAACGAACGGCTCCCGATGGGCCAGCGTGCAGGCGATGGTGAGCACCGGGTCCAGACATTTCAACACCACCGCACACAGCACCATCTTCCCCAGGTGAGGCTCCACCGGCAGGTCTGCAAGGTGCAGGCCCAGCTCCGTCAGGTTCTCCCACGGATCCATGGCATCAATTGTCTGAAAGCGGAATAAATATTAGCTTTACAGAACAATTCAAGGTACATTTTCCATTCACTTTCCTTAAGTGTCTCTAGATGAGCATTCTGACAGAGTTTGCATACAGCTCTGGGATAGCAGAAATGCTGGTTTGTGTTTATGCACGAATGATAAAACTGCATGCTTAGTTGTGTAGTATACATATTTTTAATGCAACACCAATGCATGGCAATGCAAAAGCATTTTCATTATATATACAGTGGTCACTCGCTCTAACACGGTTTACTTTTCACGGTCTCGCAGATTTGTTTAGTGCAACTTGACACACTGCTTTTATTGCTTTTTTTTACAGCACATTGTGTTCTGCGTCCTGATGGGCTGTAGATCATTGTCAATCAATCTCCTCCTTGTCTCCTGTACAGTATAGAAAAGAGCTGCACAATTAATCGAAAAAAGATGGCGATCTTTAGTTAAGGAGAGAAGCAACAAGTCTTCACACTGTTTTACATACGCTGCTCAGCAATGTGGACACCTCCAAATGGTGTTGAAAGAGTCACACACTGTATTTATAAGGTATAATTCACCCCAAAAATTTTATTTCTGTCTTCATGTAATGATGTATTTGCAGCCGCAAAATCACACGTGATGTGAGCTGACCATTAGCTGTCACCACAGAGAGGGCGGGCGCGCGCCTGTGAATCAAGGTTGTTATAGTTAACGAAAACGAATGAAAAAACGAAAACTAAAATGTTAAATAATTGTGGTTAACTGAAATTAAAATAAAAACGAGTTTTTTCTAAAACTAGAACTAACTGAAACTGTATTGTGTGCATACAAAACTAACTGAAGCTAACTAGAATTATAGAAAAAACATTTTTCATTTTCGTGTTTGTAAATGTATGTAATTCATAATCTTATTGTAAGCCTTTTAGATGTAAATATAATCCGCGCTGCAGGTGTTTGTGTTTGACCCTTTCGCACCTCAGAGTCTCTTGCTGCCATTGGCCAGATCAAGCCGGCTCTCCTCCAGTCATCCTCGCTGTAGCTCCCGCGACAAAAACAACGAGTGGACATGACAGCAGCACGGTGACAGCATTAAATAAAGAGACTTAAAACTATTACTTTAACACATTTGTGCCCAGTAATGAGTTTTATTTCTGTATCGCAATAGCGAACAAATCTTTTTAACCGGATCTTCTAAGTGAACCGGTTGAACTAGTTCACCAAATCGAACTGAATCATTTGAAACGATTCGTGTCTACAGTAAGCACTTATCCACCAACTACTTACTTTATAACAAGCCTAATACCCCCTCTGACTCTAAATAATCCAATATATACTCTCATTCAGTTATTAGAACAGCAACGTTACATTGAGAAGCGATGAACCGATAATACTGCGCATGCGTGATTCAGTGAACCAAACACAAACAGTACATGACAGCCTGCTGTATGACTGAACTGAACTGGAACAACAGCAGCAGGGGTGAACCGAGGGCTTAAATGAGAGGATCTGGGGACAAAACGTAAGTTTATTTCATAACAGACAATAGTAATGGAGTTTAAATAAGTGAATCATGCTTCAGTTGGGTTGTAAAACTTTACTCTAAGACATTTTTCAGATCATCACTGAGCTAAACTGAACTGAACTTAAACACTAAAAACTGAACTACACAGTTCCAGTTACTATGACCATTTATGTGAAGCTGCTTTGACACAAGCTACATTGTAAAAGCGCTGTACAAATAAAGCTGAATTGAATTGAATTTTAACTGACTGAAATGACTTTTGCTGACTACATAATGTTGAGTCCTCACATCCATGTTAAATATCTGAATTTCCCATCACCAGGCCCGGATTAATAATTTAGAAGCCCCTATGAACAATGTCTTGAATAGTTGAATAAAAAAATAAGATTTATATAATACTTGTTAAATAAAATTAATCTATAATGTATTGGCTATATTTTTAAAACAATTGATTTACACTATATATATTTCTAGTCTACAAAGATTTAACTTATTTTTAAAGCATTTAAAGCACACTTTGAAAAAAAAAATACTATTACAACTAGGGGAAATTAACGGATTTTAATAAACTTGTTCAAGTTCACTGAAGCAGCACTAAAATTTATATTTAAGGGTATTTTTAATGTATAACTTCTACTAACTTATAATGCACATGATTTGAATAACACCTCTCCAATCCAGTTCTAGGAATATGAGTCCTCCATAATACACACACTTATTAATGATTCCCACTTGTCTTCCTCGTGATGGAGAGTAGGCAACATCTAAGTGCGGACTGGCCCTTTGGTTAATCTGGCCCTGCCAATCACTACTGTGTCTAACCTCAGAAGCAGCCCTGCACACATATTGTACTTAAGTCTGCTGTCTTGTGGGCTGCTGTATTTGAGTTTGAGGATGGGTAGATGGTTGTGGTAGATGATAGTGTTCATGTGTTCTCTGAATACATGTTTCAAAAATGTATGACTGAGTTTTTATTATACAATATTTATCCTGTTGATTTTGAATCTTGCACCTAACAAATATCCTCATTTAGAAAAAAACTGAAACTAATAAAAACTAAACTAAAACTAAGACTTTTTAAACTATAGAAACTAATAAAAACTAAGAAATCTGCTGCTAAAACTAATTAAAACGGACTGAATTTAAAACAAAAAGTCAAAACGAAATAGAAACTAAAACTAATGAAAAATCCATAACTATTATAACCTTGCTGTGAATGAGGTCTATTTAGTGAACCGAACCTGCATAGGCTGTGAATAACAGGTACCTGGTCCGCGGAGTTCAACTGGTTAAACAAATAACGCACAGCACTACTACAGTTACAGAAAAGTTCGCGCTGTTATAATTCACGTACCTTTTAATACGTTTTGGTGCGATTAAAAACAACACGACTGAATGTTTTCAACGAGAAGCTGTATTGTAGCCATGGCGGGATGAAGTTTGCCATGGAAGAATGAAAGTAGCGGAAACCATGATATGCATTTAAACACAACACCAATGCATTTTTTTGCAATTACAGTGCAAATAAAAAAACAGTAAGAGAGTCGACGGTAAGAGAGTTAATCTGACCTTGAGCATCTGCACGGCGTGTTTGACCGTGTTTATGTGCGGCGGCTCCGGAGCTCTGGAGAGAAACTCAGCGACCGGGCAGTTGATCGGAGCCAGGAGTTTAGTGTGCAGACACAGCTCCTGACAGACACACACAGAAGACTCGATATCACCATGGTCTTCCCATTCCCACACAGACTGCTGATTCACTGGAATTATTCATACAGCAACTACAAACCTTCTCTGCCATCATCTGAGCACA